AGTATTCCCCCTGGCGTTAATGCATACTTACTACTCATTAAGTGCCATTCATACTTCTTTTAAGTAAGAGTAAGGGTAAGCAAGTGTCTGAAAATCTGTAGCGATTCTGTTTTTACAAAATTGTATATTTTATAAATAGAGATAGTAAGTGATTTGCTGTAAAAAAGTTACAATGTTCTTTTTTGAAACTATTCATGTTAAATTTTGATATAAAAGCCATAATAATAGTTCAATGCATTTTTCCTTTTCGGTAGACAACCTCACCTTCCAACTTGAAGATATCTTTTAATCCTGTAATTTTCAACCATTCTAATTTTATGAACTATTAAATATAGATCAAATTACTTTATTTTGAAAATTGATAAATAATTAGCACTGTGTGCAGGTATATATCAAAAGTTTAAAGCAGGCACAGAGATCCTGAAACAAAGTTTCAGGTTTACTTATGAGAGTACAAATAGTGCTTTGATACCCTAGCTGAGATCTTAATGCTCCATATTACAGTGAAAGGCCTTGTTTCTTAAGTTTGTGGTTTGCCTTTCCATATGTTCCTGTGAAGCAGGAGAAATGTTCTGGAAAGTTACTGTCTTGAGTGTATTTGTCATACAGGACAGGGAATCTCTCCTCATCCATGTTTTTCTTTTAGGAATAACAAAAAACAATTCCAGATGGTAAAGGAAAATAAATTTTTTCAACATTGTTATTTTCAACATTAAACTTACATTTTTGTTGATTGTAACATAATGTTGACTTAACATTTATCACAGTAACGGGATATTCTAATGTTATACTTTTTTAATTTTACACACAAATTTAGTTCATGTAGCATGCTGGTAGTATGTACCTGTTGGAAATGTAGCTTGGAGGTTATGAGAGTGTAATGCTTATCAATTCTAAACTGAGAAACTATGTGGAGTTTCACACAGTCTAATCATCTGAGGGCCTTTGTCTCTCTCACTTCTTATGTCATGGGGAGCTAGTTCATTTCATGCTGTTACAATGTAACACATTATGAATGGAAATTGAGGTCAAGGTTGTGTGTATAATGAGTACAGAGAGTATTTACAGTTCTCAAAATTTGATAAGAATGCTGTGAGTTATCAAGATTGTGAGCAATACTGGGCATTTTAGTCTTTTTTTGACTAGTGCAAAATCTCAAAAACAAATGTTTGTGTTCTGCAGTGTCTTCCATTCTGTGTCAGAATTGAGATACAGATGCAGGACTATACACTGTGGTAAACAATACACTGTTACTGAAACATGCAGCATCTATTTCAAACAGGCTCCTGTAGCTATGAGATAGAACTGACAAATAAAATTATATTAATAGTCTGTCTGAAAGCCATGGTCTGCTGTCTTGGCACATCTCTAGAGGAATTGCTTAAGGTTTACAGCTGTTGGATCTATCCAAGATTGGTTATCTAGGTAAACAAGTACACATGTAGAAGTTTGCCTACAAATGTGAGTTACAGTACATAGTCTGGCCACAGCCAAATCATTATTTCTCTTGATTTTTACGTTGTATTACTCTTAAGCTTTTTTGTTTGATAATGCATTTTTCACTCCAAACATTTACTCAATACTCAGCAGTTTGTAGTGAGGTCACTACAAAGAAAGGAATACAAAATGTCTCTGTCTTTTTATAAGAGGGACAAGTGTAGAACAGGTGAAGGGGGCTGGTCTCTCCTTAACAACACTACAAATAAATGAACCCAAGTCCCTTAACTACATGAATCACCTTCTATACTTACACAAGTACTATTTATAATACAAGCTTATTCAGCAGATGCAATAATTCTTTTACAGTTAGGTTTGGTATAGTTTTCCATTTTGAAATACAGGTTTTCTGCTTCAAATGTATTATTTTATTTTATATAGAAAAATGTATTGATCATTTTTTTCTTGTAACAAGTGAATAATTTAATAGGATTTGTGCAGTATGGAGTGTCAAGATCTTTGGCTAAGAGCTCGTCCGCAATATTTTTATATTTTACCTACAATCCTTAACTATTATTCACTAATCAAAGAAACCTTTTTCTCTAAAATACCCACTGGAATAATATAATAAAAAGCTATTTTTCAAGAGGGTACACTATGAGGTCAGCAATATTCTGGAAGTTAACCTGGGACCAATATGGAATGAAACACATGTTAATATTCAAAATAAAAAGGGAGATTAACTGCCTTGCTTCGCTTCATAACCTGTTATGTTTTTTGTTTTAATTTAATCTCTGAAACTCGTGTCCTGTCAATCGGACCCTTATGCTAGTGTCTTTTTAAGGCAGTTAGCGTATTTTACAGTAATACACACTGCCTCTTTCAAGATTTAACATTTATGATTTGCACTGATGTACCACCTTTGCCATTTACCCCCTAGTGTATGAGTCCTCTCTCTTTATTTCTAAAGGGACCTGGCTAGTCTTGTGTTCAAGTGTTCACAGTCCTCAAAGGCATTGGCAGAATGTCAGCTCAATAGATTTCTGAATCAGCAATGAAACATGAACCAGAAGAAACAAGTGAAAACCTGGCACATTACACAAAGAGTTGTGGAGGTCTAAGACAGGGCTGCCCAACCATGTTGTTGAAGCTGATAGCTACCAGCAACCGAAGGATCCAGATAAGACAAAAGCCCTGCTCTTATTTTAAGAACTTGGAGCTTAAGAAAGGTTACAAGCGAGACGAGGCCATTCAGCCCATTTCTTTGTTGATTAGTTAGTTCATTGATCCAAGGATCTCATCTGGCCGTTTCATGAAAGAAGCCAAGGTGTTGAATTCAGTAACATCTTTTTTTTCTTTCAAGATATACTTAACACATCACTCCACAGCCAAAAAAAATCTTTTCAAAACTCAAAGAATAATGTAGCAGATTAGTTTTATAAACAGCCTGTACTGCAACTTTAAAAATGGAAAATACTATAGATTTTGCCAAATAAATTAAAATGCAGTTGTGGAAATCTCATCTGTTGTGAACCGTAAGCTCTTCTATTAAGTGTCAAGCAATGCGTACCTGTGGAAATCCTCTGCCAAACTAACGGAAACTCCGTCAAAGAGGAATACATTGATGAACAGCAGGCACACAGTCATTTAGGAGTAAGTGAAATATGACGTTATTTCTCACATTAAAGCAACAGACATCAGACTATCTGTAAAGCAGAATCCACCCAAGAAAAGCATGGAAAGGAAATGGTACATTAATAACCTTTGATGTCCTAAGTAAGTTGTTGCATTAGATTCAGTTTTTCATGCTTTTATCCGTAAATGGGAAACTACTTTACATATGAATCAAAAGTCCTGGAATAATATCATTAGTAGGGTGATGTACTCTAAAAATTGCCTTTTATGAAACTATAATGAAGTATAAGTGGCAAGAAGTAGTCTCTTCCAGGACATTGCAGATATCAGTATGTGGTAAATAGGTTGTGCATTGAATAAAGGGAAGCATTTTAGTATTTAAAGGCATAAGCAGGGAAAAGGTCTCATTTGTAGCAGTCAAAAATAAATAGTAATGGTCACAACAGAGTGTGCAGAAGCTCAAGGTAAAACCTGGCTGGTGTTCGTCTTATGTATCTCTCTTCGCAAAGCAATTGTTTTTCAAATGTGTTGACATGTACAAGGATAAGGAACTGGGAACAGGTTCTGGTACACTAAATGCCCCATACCTTTGTGGATGGAGTGTCACTGATGTGAACATTTAATCTCTTGCTTCACTGTGCTCCCTTGTGACTGCTGGATTCTGCTTCTCTCGTACTTTGCAACACTATCGAATTGAAGCTTCCAGCAGCAGCTGTGACCTTTGAGGATGTGGAGAATCCGAAGCTGTCAGAGACCGGGGAGTAATTCCAGTGTTAGTCCAAGTACAGTATAAGACTACGTGGCTGCGCTCCGAGTGTTAGAGTGTGCTTAAGTCCCATCAAATGGACCTGAATTCATTATGGATTGCACAGAATGTGATACAGACACGTCTGACTGGGATGATTCCTCCTCAGCATGTACTGAAGACAATTCTGAGGCCGAAAATGAAAACTATACAGAGTAATGCTTGCTAATCAAACTTTTTTGTGGTCCTGAAAGATAAAAAAAAAATAAGTCAGGCACTCAGCCACCTGCATCACAGAACAAATGAAGTGTTTTTATGTGATAGCATTCAGAATGTTGAAATAGCTATTTTGCGGAGTTGGAATTTTTAAAAGCAGCACTTCTGGAACTTTTTAACAGATGTTTAAATCTGCAACTTAAAAGAATATGTTCTAGTCAAAGCATGTTGGTGGTTCATACTGTATGTAGTATTAATATCAGTGCTGTTTTATTCACTGTGTTCTGTTTTGCTTTTGTATTTTAAGTTTTGTTTAAATGATTCTCATGTGATTTGTCAACAACGTTTATTATGCTTTCATATCTTTCTGTGTTTTCGTATCTTTCTGTAAGATAGTTATTCTTTATTGATAAATAATGTGAATGTATAAATAATATTTAAGAGTTATTTTGTCTTTCTGAAACAAGAAAAGAAACCAGTGTTGCTTCCGAGTAGAGTTTGACAGTGTCATTGTGGTAAATTAATGTCTTTCATCAAAAAATGTTATCATCATCAGAATAAAGACAGAGCGTTTTGTACTCAAGGCAAAAGGGTAACAAACATCCGACATCTCTTGTCTAAACAGTCTGAGGTTTTTTTTTAATGAAAACATTCCAATGTTGAAATGACTCAAAGAATTCCAATACAATAAGCAGGTTTGTAAATTTTTGAAAACATTGATGAAATGTTCTCCTGTGGTTAAACAGATGGGATTTTAAATCAGTTTTCCCCAATGGAAGAACAAGCTGCTTCTTCTCAACCGTCTAGACAAGTCCTTAACTCTATTTTATGGATGTATTTGTTAGGATTTTGTTTTTTCCTGGTAGACCCAGCAACGACAGAAAAGATACAGTAGGTGCACCAGTGAAAAGATGAAAACACCACTCAGAGGACTGTGGCACTGATGCATTTTTTGTCTTTTTCACAGAGAAGATATAAGAACAGCCAATGTCATTGCTGCTGAAGCTGTGACCTGTTTGGTTATAGACAGAGAGTAAGTAATCCTAAATACATTTTATACCTCTGTAGATGTGTGTTAGTTTTACCTTTTTCGTTTTGCTTTGTTTTGATTGTGCAATTGTGAACAATAATCTGTTAATTGGTCAAATCATCCTTTGATAATCTTTCATCTCGAATGCTTTCCCTGTGTTTACTGAAAGTTCAGTTTCAATGTGTGGGGTCTCAGTCGACTGACAATTATACAATTATGAATGGATCTCACATTTCTCAGTTGGAGGTGTTTTGTTTTAAAATCTTTTGGTTGTTATTGTTGCCTTGTATTCCAAGACATGAATTTAGCCTTAAAAGGTCATTATCAAATTTTATTTTCCTCCATTTCACACTAAGGAGCCTCAAACCTGTATGGTTTTAATAGAAAAAAAACAGTAAAGTAAGTAACGACACCACTCCATTAAAAGTGGCTTCCACAAACTGACATTGATGATTTTGAGCCTCATGGGATAGCATGAAGAGGTTCAACAGAAGAGCTCTGTCAGCTTGAGGGCAGCAAAGGAACAAGTAGATGTTGTACAAGAAAGAACAAAGTGTTTTCAAGACCTGAAGTAGGCTGTACAGCGTGTAATTAACACAACACTTGTTTCACGGTGCAGCATGCTTCCCTTGTGAATCAGCTGCACACTGTTGAAATGTGTGGCTAAAAGTGTGGTTGACACAGTGCCATCTACCACAGAGCTCCATGGCCATAAGACTGGGCTACAAAGGGAGTTTCTGTGCAGACAAATACTGAAAGGACCTAATGCCAATGCAGGAAATTAACCACGAATTTTATTACCAAGCCTGGATGAAAGGTTTACAGCTCAGCTCATTAAGATTTACTTATTTTGGCTGCTGTTCACTGTTCGGATGCTAGACCGGCAGATAATTATCAGGTTCATGTAGATTTCCTGGTACTGCTATGCCACTGGAACATGATTCGTGAGTGCTGAACAGAAATACAGATGGATTGGGAGCTGTGGAGACACGTCAACAAAACGTGCTCCATATCAGACCATGAAGGTTAGTTTATTGCTTAGTGTTTTAGTTGAGGACAAAAGATATCAATCTTGCATCACCAGGCAGGGAAGATTTTTTTTAAAAACACAGGGTTTCTGAGGGGCCAGGTTAATTTGCAGCCCACTGTATTTAAGGTTTAAAGATTGAGACAAAGCTCTCAGTTCCCATCACCCTATCCATATCAGCTTCTATAAATAAGAAGGCATTGCCCATCTCCAAGGCTGAGACTTGGTTCCAATTTGGGAAGGTTACATGTTGGTAACATCAGAAAACCTCACTGTCACAATTGTGTATTCAAAGTCACCTGATCTTTTGAATATGTTCATTTGGGGAAGAGCTATAATTTCGAGGTATTCCTAACATCCTGGCTTGAACGATGAAAGCTCTAACCACAACACACAAAACAACTTTTTAATCTGCAAAGGACCAAGTAATAGGTTTATTCCATGCTGAAAAGAGAAGAAAGAAAACACAAATGTTTGGCTGTGGAGCCTTCTTCAGGTGTGGCACACTTTTTCCTCACAAACCTATCACTTGTTCCTTTGCGGCCTAGGCATGCTGATGCAGCTACCCACCTGAACTTTTTCATATTTTATTAATTCATTTGAGAACAAGTCATAATGTCAACAATCACTGGGGGAATACACATTCCTTCAGCTGGGTATTTACTAGAGAAATATGAATTAAATACTTTGTTTAATCATACAACAGCAGCATGCAATCTAGGATTTGAACCTATGACCCTCTAGTCTAGAGTCCTAACCATGATTCCATGCTGCTGGCCTGACAAATAACCACTAATATCTGCTCTTTTTCTTGGACTCAGCTAATCATGTACTTAATCTTAACAGAAAACAGGAATACTGTGGAAAATTTCCAATCAATAAACTGAAATTTTACTTTCAAGCTGAAATTGCCACAGTGAAGTAGCATTTAGTTTACTTGTATTAATGATGCTAAGATCTGAATGTTAAAGGTCTAGATTATGCAGCTTTATGTTCTATATTCTACAGCAGGTTTCCGTTAAATTGCTTTCACATCTGTTCAGGTTTTCTTTTCTAATATTGTCATAAATATCTTGCAAGCCATTAGTATGTTTGTTACAGTGTATAATATTTTGTGCAATATATTGGTATATTTGATCTGAAGGTCTATTATTTATAATAAGTATAAATACATATTAAGTAATTTTTGATTAAACCGTACATTATGTTCTGCCCACTAATGATACATGAGAATGCAATGCACTTTACTTCATTTCTTAATCTGCATTTGCACATTTTGTACTTACTAAGCAAGGGATATTTGCATTGTTTTAAATAACAAGTGATGGGGAGTGACAATTTTTTACTAAATAACCATTTTTGTGAAGCCTGAAAAATATAATTGAATGGGTGGAATTTATTTATTCAAAATAATTCATTGGTGGTGAACAATAAATACAGTTCCACATTCAAATTTTATTCAGCAAAGAAATGTTAAAATACTATCCCATCAGCATATTCCAGAGAGCTCAAGGATGATGATGGTATCATAGCAGCCTCAGGGAAAATTTGAATTCGTTTTGGAAAACGGGGCTCTCTAAAGGACTTGTGTGATGGAACATTTAAATGAGCACATTGACCTGCCCTTATTGAACCATGTTATGGTAATCAGACCCCTCTTAGCCTCTGATGTACTTTGCTTTGGTATGCAACAGATGGCAGAGTATTGCACGATAACATATAATAAATGCACAGCCAAGCTCTCAAAAATGAAGAAGCTTCCATGAAAGAGAAAAATAGATATATTTTGTTGTATCGTGCCATAAAATATCGCATCTGTGTATCACAAAGGGAAATTTTCATAGACTTCAGTTTCCAGTGCCTTCTCAGCTGATCACTTTCATTCATACTGTTTTTGAGAAAGAGGCAGGGCAATTACTTTCCTCAAAAAAGGAATTTGTTTTTAACAGACTGAAAGTATTCAGAAGTATTTTGCATTTTAGGAGAAAATAAATTAACTCTAAATCCTTATTGAAAACCTGAGAGTAAGTTAATAACATTTTGCCAGCAGTGCATAATATCAAACTCTCCTCTTCTATCTTGGTCCAATCGTTTGTGAAATTGTTCTTAATCTAAGGAAAAAGGAAAGCAAACATGGTAAGAAATTGAAATTCATGGACATTCAAGAATATCTTTGTAGAGGTTTTATTATTTAATATTGGGTCTTATGCAGTTAAAAATCTTATGAAATATTAAATTACAGAAAGCATTAGCCATCAAACAACATTTGTGAGAGGTTCCCTTATAAGCTATAATATTAAAGTTTAATGCACAATACTAATGACAACTGTCTTAAGATGCATATTGATTGATGAAAATAAGATGAATGAAATTTAGTCTTGGACTGAGTTCTGTTGTAGAAGACACATGTTCCTCTGATGGGGCTGTGCCCAGTGTCAACCATAATGGAAACCTAATCTCCAAAGTGCCTGTGTTAAGTTGGCCTTTTTCTTGACAATCTTTTTAAGTTTTTCACCTGGCCTGAAGTGCCCCTGTGTTATTGTGATTTACATCTTACAATACTGAGCTAATTGACGTTAATCCTCTGAGGTCCAGAGAGCTTTGATGTTGATTTCCTGCTTTGTGGGTGTTTGATGTCTCTTATTAGAGACTTACCTATTGTCTTGGACATTTATGTACTAATGCAAAATATGTGCATACATAGAATGCAGGAAACTTATGATTTGCTATGATTTATTTTCTCCAACTGTTAAAATCGAAAAATATTTCTTCTTAGAAGGTTTGTACTCTTTTTTGCATTTCATTATGTGTTAAAAGATTGTTTACATGCTGAAAATTCTATTGGCCGTCTAGTTTCCTAACTGTAAAACATGTGTGATAATACAGCGATCTTCTACAAATACTGTATCATAACAATGTTAGCTGGAAAGAAGCGAAATGATGGCACATTATAAACTATTGAATATTACTGAAATAACATGGATCAGGCAATCAATTTCAATTTTATAATGTATAGCTAAAGCAATACAACCACAAATGCACCAAAAACCTCCAATCGTCAGACACAATTGTTGGCTTTTTTATATGCTCATTTTCCATCCCTTACTCAAGAACACTTAAACACCAGTTTTGCTTCCCTAGTGCTACCACTTGAGCTCCTAATTCAAACATCCGGCCTTTCAGTCCTTCAACAAGCAATCGATCACATATATTAAGAGGTAAACAGGTTACATAGGGTCCACGGTTAACACTGTGCTTCTGGCAAATTGTTATTATCTGGTCTCTGTTGTAAGAATTATTTTTTGACATTTATGTTTCAAAAACTCTTTTTTCAGCTCATTTAAACACTTGATTGGGGGGCTAGAGGATGTGTCAAACAAAGCTTATGAAGATGCTGAAGCCAAGGCAAAGTAAGTCACTGTTATTATCCATGTATTCCCTGTTATTGTGTCTGTCTGCCTATACTGCAGCACACTGGGCTCTCACATGTCTTGCATCTGGAAGGCTCAGAAACACTAAGAAGAAGCATGTTACTTGGAGTGTGTGGTTTCGAAATAGTGCTCAATCTGGATAGATGCCTAAGAAACTCAAAAACGAACCTGTCCCAGTGGAAGTGAATCATCTCATCAATGGCTGTAATTTACATACTGGACTACAAAGTACATAGCTCTTGGTACATAGCTCTGCCAACCAAAGACATCTGTGTCGATGAGAAAATAAACTGTGGTAAATGTAGAAATGAGTGCAAAGCTGTGAGTAAATTGAGACAGAAGGCTGGTTGGGGTTGTTCACTGACTTTGTAGTCCGTCAAAGTCTCATTGTGACAAGCCCCCTAGGAAATCAGTGTCCCTCAGTATCTGCCTCATCTGGCATTAGAATACTTTATATTCACTCGATTCAAATGCAGCTGGAAGCCCTTCGTAGTTTTACAGCTTCAAAAAGTAAATTTTAATGTTAGCAAAAAGGAGATTATCCTCTACAGATGGAAAGTTTTATGACCCTACAGGGATTAGGCTATCCACTGTGGACTGCTGCAAAGAATGGGAAGTCTTTTGAAAAGATAAATATCAGTCACAGGTGAACAGCATTTACACTGAACTGTGTTCCTATTGGGGAACAACTGTAAATAGCCTTTATTTAAAAAAAATAAGTGCACATGCATTAATGATGAACTCTCAGTATTTCTTTATAGTGATAATATTTCTTCATATCAAGATATCTTAAAAGTACTGTATGTGTTTTTGTTAATGTACACAGTTGCACAAGATGTTTCCTACAAGTTCTGATCCTCAGGCAGTATTTTAAAACCCGGCGCACCCCATTAAACCCTCTGGGCCCAGGCTACTGGTGCGGACCTCAGAGCGAAGTCCAGATTCCTCAGAAGGCAAAATAGCTATCTTCATTTCTGTTCTGCTGTTTTGGTTGATCTACTCAGCTTTGGAGAACTGTACTGATCCTCCCTTTGGAATATGAGTGTTGGGATATGCAAAATGCCCATCAAGTGCAGGCTGGCATCAGTCAGTGCTTTTCTCACTACAGAAACAAGAAATATTTAAAATCTAAGTAGATAACTTTTAAATGGATTCAATTTTAAACATTTTGAATATTGTACTATGGCATGGACTGTGCAGAATTACTTCTATAACCTGCTAAACAAACAAATGAGCACATTGAGCCACATTTCCTGTATCCTCTCTTATTCTAGTAAGTCAAGCCAAAAATTGATATTTTACATTTATTTACAAAAATGTCTTAACTATTTTTCCAAACAACATGAATAAATGTATTCAAATTAGAATTACTCCCATTTCCGTGCAGTACTGTATATACATATGTCCCTATGAATTAATCTATCCACTGTTATTGACAGCATTGGTTAATGAGGTAGATGTAAAGTGAAGATTTTAATTGACAAAATACAATAGAATTTCCTATTCTTCCTTCAGAAGAAAATCAACACTTTTTTCTTTCAGTCAAATTAGAATCTGAGAGAGGTATAATTAAAATAGTTTTAATGGGTCATGCAACTTAATCTTTTAAAGTTCATGAGTTTTATGAATTAGTTTGCAAATCACCATTGGCTTGCATTACATTTTAATTACTATTGCTCTTTTCCCTGACCTGTGCTGTAATTACCTCTGATGACTTTACTAAAGAAACAAATGAGCAATCAAATTTGACAAGGCAATTTGTAGTTATGAAGCAGTATGTGTCACTTGCAACCTGTTTGCGTGCATTAAAAAAGCAGTCCCATTAAATTTGATTTAAAATTGAAGCAGTGGATAATGTTTCAATATGGAGGGTGTGCAAAAGTCATTTCACTTGTTACTTTTTCAATAACAATGCTTTTCTGTGAAAAGTGAATAATAAAAGGGAACCCATAGTAATGACTTGATTAAAACAGACAAACTTGATTTTTCTTATAACTTGTTTCAAGAATGGATATGCAAGTGTGTTTTAATCCTTCATGAAAATGGGACAAAAAAGATACTTTACAGAATATCCAATAGAAGTGCAGTGTATCTTTTTGACTTCCATTAACCTTGTTGTTTCTACAGGGTATACACGTCTTGTATACTGAATGTGAAACGAAACATTCTATGTATGCAGGTGTGGTTTTAGAAGAATATACCAATTTTGGATATTGAATAAATGTTTTAAAGTTTAATTAATTGATCATTCATTGTCTCTGATACACTTGAGTGCCTCTGATGGCACTATGGCATAAGCATTAGACCATCTTATTAGTGAGAAAGTTAATTGGGCAAAGGTGATGAGGTGATTTGGCCCAATGGATAGAAGTAATGCAGAAATACCTGATATTATTCCTGCTTTTTTATTTGTTATTTCCTTCTGTATAAATGTTGGTTTACTATAAAAAATATTTTTTCCTGTTATTTAAACATACAAGTAAATATCTATTTCTGTTACTTAGTCATAAAGGCATTTAAGTATTTATTAGGCTATGCTTTTGTAATTTTAAAGTATTAAAATAGTTTAAAATCTGTAGTTAGTCTCTCTGACAGCAACTCAAATCATAAAGGTAGAATCAAATCAGCTACAGTGATGAGGTAAGAACTGATTAAACAGACATCATGTTACAACATTATGCCATCTTTTACTGTCCCGTTTGTTTGTTTCTTTTATTACGATGTATAAATATTGAATATAAATTTACTTATTAATAGTATTAGTATCCATAGGATGTTTTGTGAGTGCCGTTCTTCTGAGTATTGTTTTGTGCACATAATAAAGTGAAATCTTAGGTTTTAGCTATATTAATTAGTTGTGCATGCCAAGTGTATTTAAAATATTTTAGGAAGCAAGGTCCAGCAACACAAGCAAGGCTAACAGTCACGATACTTGAGTACTGGTGATTCCTCTGAGATTCCTCTGAGTCCCTATTTATAAAAAAAGTCCAGATGGCTTCCATCAGTGCACAGTTACCAAGTCACTGGGGTCCACTTCAACTAAAAGAATCAGACGCTGGACATTTAAAACTGTGTTTTGCGCCACTAAAAAGTCAGTGAGGTTCCCACATGTGTTCTGAATTCAAAAACTGAAAAAAACATGGCTGTGCACACATACTGTATAAACTCAAAGCAGAATAAAAAGTTAAATTCAGCGAAACCAAGGAAAATAGGATAGTAAAGAAAGGCTGGTCGGGTGGCACAGTGGTGAGCATTGCTGCCGTGCAGCACTGGGGCCCCGGGTTCAATTCCGGACCTGGGGTGCTGACTGTGTGGAGTTTGTATGTTTGTATTTCCCACAGTCCAAAGACATTGTGGAGGATAACTGGCTTCTGGGAAAACTGATCTTGGTGTGAGTGTCGGTTAGCAGCGGGTGCAAGATGGGATACACCCTGGACAGTACACGATAGACTGGTGTCCTGTCAGTGGTGTATCCTGCTTTGTAACCAATGCTAAAAGGGATAGGCTCTGGCTCCCCCACAGCCCTGAATTGTATGAAGCAGTTAGAAAATGAATGGATGGAAGGCTGCTGCCATCTGTCTTTGACTGGCTGAGTATTCTGATTCACAGCTCATTATGGGAGATATAGTCTGCTGTCAAGTAAGCCGGTCCAGACTGTGCAGTTAACTTTACAGGCTTCAGTTGGAATGTCTAAAGGTAGCTATCCATAAACAGAGAAAGGACAAGCACACGAGGCTTACGATAGTATAGATTTGAGCAGTTTTAAATTCCTTTGTGATTTTTCCTGTTAAAAACGTTTATTTGTTCCTTTCTGTTGACACTCTTTATTGTGAAATCCTAGGGTGAAATACTCCCATTCAGACACTCCTCTGTAAATAATCTCTTTGTCAGTCAGACCAAATTGATTGCGTCTCTCAATGGAAGAGCTTGAAAGCTTTCTATTGAGCAATTACTCCATTAAAGAAGCTCTTACACTAAAAAGTACTTCCTTTTGTTCCAGCTAGTAGACGTGATGCCACAGACCAAAATCAATCATTTTGCTGAAAGGTGAAGATAGCAAATGAAATCCTCCAAATTTATTTGATGCGTATATTTATTTGATATAAATAAGTCTTAATGCAACTTTGGCATTGATGTCTTATGTTTTACGCAGTGTATTATTTGAAAGCTTTAGCACTATAATTAACAGTGCCATATGAATAGATACTGGGTCTCATGTACTTCATCTTCAAAAGATGTGCAAGTTCGCCCCCTGGTGGCAGACAATTGGATCCTGTAAATTTTTTTAAGATTTGAAGTTACCCTATTTTTACCATAGGCTGTTAGAAATTACATTATACCTCAAATAAAAAAATAGAAATCAGCCTAAAAAACAATGCAAATAACTATTTATAACCAGTTCATGTAAAATGTGTAATTCATATTAAAAGTCACATAGAGTTTACATTGGCTTTTTCTCATTTTGTATTAAGTTGTTAATTTTGTATTTTTATATTTGTTAAATTTAATATTGTTTGTGAAGACAGTCACTATGTGAATGAAAGTTTTACACCTTTTCACTTTTAGGTACTTCCAGGCTGTAGTCTGAATATATATCAAATAATAAATCGACTTTTTTCCCTGTTTTCAGTGGTATGGAGTGTACGTTTATTTTCATTTGAATGTATTTTTTCCCATTCAAAATGCTGGTACCATTTATGGCATTTAGTTAAATTATTTTTTCACCATACTGCTATTTGAGCCTATTTTTATCAAAACACAGAATGATTACAATTGAGCAGAGGTTTGTGGTCTATCCATCAAATGTGAAGGTTTACAAAAGTATGATTTTCTATCACCATAATACCCCAGAGCAGCAAAATTAAATTTCAAGCACATCACTGATGTGATTCAGCAGATTATCTGCTTAAAGAAATGTAAGGATACGGATACATAATAAATCCATGTTCTTAGAAGTCCTGGTGCAAACATAGGTCTTT